CCCCAAAACCCCAAAACCCCAAAACCCCAAAACCCCTTGTATGGGAATGTGGATTGAATTTTAAATTAAAAGGTCTAAGTTTGAACAGCTCTTCTCAGACTCTGTTTTCATGTCTTCTACCTCTCTAGCTGCTATATAAGGTTAGGCTGAGTGATTACATTCCATTATCCGTTGTCTGATAAGTTTATTTTCTTCTTTAGTCCTCTTTTCTCTCTCAAATCTTACTGCTAAAATGCTTCCAAATATTTTCTGCAACACTATTTTATGAATGTAAAAGATTGTCTTAAGGGACTGGCATCGTTGAAGGTAGGCCTCTCTTGCAGTAAATCTCGCTCTTGCGCACTTGAGAAAGTTTTTCTTCTGAAGAGTGTAGATCTTCCTCTTTCTCTCCTTTATATCAATCATTGATTTTCTTCTTCTCACACGAATAACACGTTCGTTGCTGTAACTAAGACCAAGAAGGTTACGTTGTCTTGAAATCTTTATTTAAGCTTGAGACCCATCGTCTGTAATCTTTGAAGGTTGGAGTGGATCCTCTGAGAAGCGGATTGAGCTCTCTTGCTTCTCTTGTTTTTAATAGTTCGAACTTCAGTCATGAGCTCTTCTCGCTTTTCATAATCATCTACAAATTCTTCAACTTTGTTGTAGATTATTTGCTTTGTGGTCAGCTTTGGCTGGACCAAAGCTGCAAGATATGAATCGCTTTCTATAGTTGAGTGAACGAGGCCTTACCAAAATTATTCTTAATCATCACCCCTGGAGGAGGATCTCTCTCGAAACAATAAGCAAAATATATTTTAAACCCAATTTTAGATGTGAAGGAGATGGAGGCGATCTCACTTGAGGAGGGTTCTATCTGCTTGCCCACTTCTATTGTAGCATACTGACTTCTAAACTTATAGTCTCACGTTTTAGCAGTTGGATGTCGCTCTGAAGTTGAGAGGTAAGTTCTAATATCAAATTTGACTCTAAGTGTTAAAATATGACTCTTACTCGTCATTCTCATCAAAATCTTCTTCATCACTGACTCTAAGGTAGACATTTAAAGCTTTCTTGCCTGGTTTAAGCTGAATTTTTGTGGAGAGTGGGACTCTTTCACTGTAAATAGATAACATGTGGACTTTATTTGGCTCCAAGACTTTATCATTTTCTTCCTCTTCCATAATCTGTTTGAGATGAATCTGCATCATCTTGAGGTTTAAGCCAAGCTTCTCGATCTCTCTTTGAGTCTTATGATCCTTCTTTCCTAAGGACATTTTAGGGATGGGGTTGAGTCTCTTCAAGTTTTTACTCAGTTCATAGTTCTTTCTAGAAGTTTGCTCAGTTATGGTCTGCTTTCCTTCCATGTCAAGATCGCTCAGGAGCTCTTTGGAGTTAGCCCAGTTATCAAACATTTTTAGTTTAGTTCTAGAGTATTCTCAGAAAGATCTTACCCAAAATTCTGAGTTGAGTAATTGGAGGAAAATACTGTTTTTGGCCTCCTAGAAAACTTAGAGTACGTTTAAAGATTGCTTACCTTATCTCGGTTGTGAGTTGGCGTTCAGAAATGTTTCGATTCTTGCCATCTTTGATTCCCCTCTTTGTATCTCTGGTGCTAAGCCCTCTGCTAGTGAAATGCCCCCAAAGTTGTTTCTTGTCTCTCAAAGATCTACATTAAAAAGAAAAATTTGTACTTCAAGTTAAGGGTGGGTGGCTTGTAATGGTTCATCTTCGCCTCGATATTCGTAAAACAAGTCTTTGGTCTCAAGATCTTAGAGTGGCTTTTTCTGTGGCTATGAGGTCTTGTTTTACCTAGAAATATCAACAATAACTTACCAAGGCTTTGGCCCCAAGCGTTAGAATGAGTCTTGATATGAGCATTATCCTTCTGAGTTGACAAGAGTGACTTTTGTGAGCGGTTGCCTTGTCCGCTATATAACTTGTTTCTGCTAGTCTGCTTCATAAGAATTTCAATTTTAATTTTTATACTTGGGGTTTTGGGGTTTTGGGGTTTTGGGGTTTTGGGGTTTTGGGG